TTGTCCTACATTAGTTTGCTTACGACGCATTTTTACATACGAAAATATAGGGTGTAACAGCAATCGATTTCCAGATTTATTCTCTATTTTTGTGTCCTTGAGTTATTCTATAAAATTTGGTAAACTTTCCTGTTTTTAAAGGTTGGACCTAAAATTAAACTTGTGAAACTACATTATCCTAGATTCTAAAGAAGTGACGTGGCTTCCCATATCACAAAATCACATGCATGTTGAATGGTGTTGTATTGTATCTAAAGGATGACCTAAAATTTGAACCTAGGAGTCTTATTTGAACGTACATCCTAGATTAATCCTTCTTAAGTTGCTCTATTTTGAATTTCTGGTAAATTGCATCATCTAATTGTAATTAATAGGTGAGAAACATATATCATTTTTAATATGTATTAGAAGCATGGGCTGGAACTGTTAACTTCTAGTTGATGGTCTCTGTGACTTTAGTTGAATTCTTCATTGTATTAATATTCTTTTGACTCAATATTTTAGTACTGAAATTTATGATCAGTTGTCAGATCTCAAGTTTTAATTTTTTTTTTCCAGCTTGAATAGATTTTATGCTGTCCATTTGCCAATGCTGAACTGTTTAGGTGTTATGTTTGCACAATCTAGATGCACAATAATATTCAGCTTAAAAGTTGTGTTGTCTTTGTTAAAAGATCGGCCATGTTACATGATACACTTTGCTATATTGGTTATTTTATTACTTATTTCTTTAGATGTTGTATAAGCAGAGGCGAATCTAGGATTGAGATTCTATGGGTTCAGTTTTTAAGGTTTTTAACATGGAACCCATTATATTTTTAAAGTTATGGGTTAAGACCTACTGTTTGTTGCGATTTTAATAAATTTTTATATATAAATTTATGTTATGCATCACAAATACTGGACTGAAATGAACCCGGCGATCAAACTCTACATCCTTCCCTGTTTATAAGACCAGAATAATAATAATAATAATAATAATAATAATAATAATAATAATAATAATAATAATAATAATAATAATAATAATAATAATAATAATAATAATAATAATAATAATAATAATAATAATAATAATAATAATAATGAAGATTATTGTAACAAAGTTTCAACTATTTTGTTAGCTTTTATAAAAAAGACTGAAATGGAGTAATAGAAAAAAGAAAAGAAAAAAAAGACCAATAAACCTGAAGTATCACAAATAGCCGATAATTCTATAGATAACAAATGTATATAATTAATTAGAGCACCCCACTAAATAAATAAGAAGCGAATTACGATTTGCCCATATAGAGTCTGGTTAAGTATTTCAAAGCTGACGGTCAATGGCCGGATATTGATGTAAAAGGGGAAGATACCTAATGTTGAAAGTTAGGGGGAGGTTGATTTTTAAGCCAAACTTCGGGAGGAAAAATAATTTTCACCCATTATTTCATCGAACATCCGTTACCTTCATCCAGAGGCGGACCCAAGAGATTTTAACGCAACGGAGGCCAGGGGCATATGTAGTGTGATAATAACAGATTCAATTGAACTCATAACTTTAGACGCAGAGTAAAAATTAGTTAAGAATGCAAAAATAGTAGATATGAACCCATAACGTTAAAAATATAATGTATTTAATGTTAAAAAAACTTAAAAGTTAAACCCAAAGAATTCAAATTCTAGCCTCTGACGGAGACATCCGTGCTCTGCTCTACTAGTGCCCCTTTAAAGCTTTATAGTGTTTAACGTGCCAAGTGATTTAAATTAAAATTAACCATTTTCAAAGTATACACTTATACATATATAAGATTTCTGCCTAAGTTTACGGAATCCGATGAACCCTCAAGGTTACACTACACATATGTTCGCTTCTGCCTCCACCAGCATAGGTATCGATAAGTTTATCAGCCGAGGCTTAATACAAATGAGAAAAAAATTATTTAGAGCCCGTTTGGATATAAGAAATTTTTTACCTTTTTCAAAAAATATTCATTTTTTTTCGAAATCAGCGTTTGGTCATAAATTTTTCAATTTTCACTTGAAGATACATTCTGGAATTTTTTGAAAATTTGAAAAACTCCAAAAAGTTGTTTTTCAAAATTTTCACTCAGATCACTCACAAAACTTCAAAAACAACCAAAAATTATATTCATGTCCAAACACAACTCTAATTTTCAAATATCATTTTCACTTGAAATTTTTTTTTACTTTTTTTTGGAAAATGGTATTTGAAAATTAGAGTTGTGTTTGGACATGACTATAATTTTGGGTTGTTTTTGAATTTTTGTGAGTGATCCAGTAAAAATTTTGAAAACAACTTTTTCAAGTTTTTTAAATTTTCGAAAAAATTCCAAAATTCATATTCAAGTGAAAATTAAAAATTTTATGACAAAAAATGAAAAAATTTCGAAAACAGTGAAAAAGTTTTCATGGCCATACGGGCTTTAAATATAAATATGGAGTAAGTTTCTAACTTCAACCTCAATACTCATTTCTCAAAATTCAACCAGAAAAAGTCTTCCTCACTCTTCCGAGACCATGGACCGTTCTAAAATCCAACAATACCATACTGCCATACTTTATTCCCTTTAAATATTCACCCATTCACTGAAAAATCCACCTTATTCATTCTCGGCGCATCAACTTGCCCGGTCAATATTATATATCTATGTTAAACTTGGTGGTCTATTTTTGTTGCCCCTCTCATTCAATCGCTCTACCAAAAAATAAGGCGAGGGATCGACCCCACAGAGAACCCAACCTTTGAAAGTAGGGTCTCAAAGAAATCAATTTCACCAATTTTTGTTAACTTAGATCCAGATTAATTGAGCTAATAAATTTCGAACATCAAATAATTAAACAAAAAAAGAAAACCAAAAAAAAAAAGCCTTCACCAAATTATGGACCGTTGAAAAATCCACAATGCCATATTGCAAAGTGCCAACTTTCCTTTACTTTATTCCCTTTACCTAGTCAGTGACTCATCAATCTCTCCCATGCTTTTATATAGGAGTAAACATTTACTTTCTTTACCAAAAACCTCCATTTCTAAAGATTCAAAATCAAACAATTTTTCTTGATCAACAATGCATAACAGTACATCATCATCATCACTTGGCCCAGGAGGTTTAGATCTAAGCCAAGTTTTCTTCAAATCCATTTCCAACACTCATCCACCATCGCCCACAAAACGCCACACGAAAATCTCCGTGATTGGCGTTGGCAATGTGGGGATGGCCATTGCTCAAACCATCTTGACTCAGGATCTCGTCGACGAACTAGCTCTCGTCGATGCGAAACCTGATAAGTTACGCGGCGAGATGCTGGATCTCCAGCATGCCGCCGCGTTCCTTCCCCGAACTAAAATAGTCGCTTCTGTCGACTATTCTGTTACGTCCGGGTCGGATCTTTGTATTGTCACTGCGGGTGCCCGACAGAACCCGGGTGAAAGCAGACTGAATTTGCTGCAGAGGAATTTGACTATGTATAAAGGTATTGTTCCGGAGTTGGTGAAGTACTCGCCGGAGTGTATACTGTTGATTGTGTCGAATCCGGTGGATGTTTTGACTTATGTCGCGTGGAAGTTATCCGGGTTTCCGGCGAACCGGGTTATCGGGTCGGGTACTAATTTGGATTCGTCTAGGTTTCGGTTTTTGATTGCTGATCATCTTGATGTTAATGCCCAGGATGTGCAGGTCAGTTCATTATTTTCTATTCCTTTTCTTCAAATTTCTTTGATTATGAATTTTCCAATTTTTTTCTAATCATTTAGTTATAAAGTTTGCCCTTTATACAATATTTATGTTTTAATTCAAATTACAAAAGGAGATACTTTGATCATTGTACTCTGAATTTAGTCACTCCCAGAAGTATTATTTATGTTCAGTGGACAAATTAGGATGTAATTTGTCATTATTATTTGGTTGCGCCGCCCCACTATGCAAAATATTATATCATGGGAATTCTGTCATTAATTTTGTTCTTTCCTTCTCATGTAGTAAGCTTAAAGTCTACCAATCACCCATCATTTTGCCAGCGGCCGAACCTAATAGCGTTGATCCGGATTTCAAGATGATGGGTGCACTAGTAGATCTAGAATTTAATTTGACATATTTAACTTTAGTCTCTTTTCATAAAGTCACTACACTTTTGACATTGTAGGTTCCAAACTATATACCTTTTGAAATTTTAGTGATTTTCACACACACATATATATATATA